TTTTACTAAACAGGCCCTCGTGAACGGTCCGCTAACCAATAAGTTTTCGCATACGTAGCAACAATTCTAATGTTGAGCCATGTCGCAGCTTTATGTTGCAGAAACTTTGGTTAAATCTTTGTCTGTTGTTTAGGTCTTCACGTTTAAAATTGGACTCTCAGTGTCATAATTTACCGAAACATCACTAGTAAACATGCTAGGTGTGACTCACCTGTGAGATTAGCAGGCTATTGCCTTCACTACTGCGTAGAATTGTGCACGTGAGTTCGTCAGGCCACGTTTGTGGAAGTTATCTTCTGCGCAGCGTAACCAGGATCCTATGTTATCGAGTCCAAATGGCATTATGTGAGGTGAGAGGGGTGAGATTCTTTATTCCAAATACTTTCGGAGTCTGTTCCGTCATAATGAAGATAAAATATACAAATTGGAGACAAAAGCAAGAAACAGACTCACAGCTTATTCTTTGGTGTACGAGAACATGTCCGGCTCACCATGTCGTGAGTATTCGGAGTTCGATAACGCCTTTTCACATAACAACTTTATGAATGAAGTATACCAACCGAGTCAAATCAGAAGTCAGAAATGAAAGGGTTCAAAGATGTATTTCAAAAGTTATCGATATGTTGGGAAGCGTTCAGTATAAACTGTTTAGCGGTTGAAAGGGGTGTGTAGAGCGATGTACCCACTGGTGATATGATGCACATTCGTAACTGGTTCTCTTCAGCTGGGTGCGTTCAGTAAAACTAATGAAGTCAGCACCAATGTCGAAGAACTACATAATCTTATTCGGTGAACATATTTACTTTTACACTAATTATGAGGAATAAGAAAAACAAACTCATTCAAGTTAAAACCCTGAACGGATCCCCTGTAAAATATTTATTCGAGAAAATGTGAATTTAGTGTTAACTAAATGTGACAACACCTAGAATGATGTATGTCACTCGTTCTTGTTCATTGACAAACTGCAGAACAAACTCAATTGTTTTCCTCGGGTGGTTTATTGAATACATCTCAACTGTCCACAGTCTATCAAAATTATCAAAACAAGACTTAATTGCCGAATTGTAGGTGTGCCATATTATCTGACACCATTCTTATGTAATCTTGTCAGACTAGACGTTACGAGTTGTTGGAAGTTAATTATGTTTGTGTATTTCTGCAACAAACTATGTGACCACAAAATAACACTAATTTCTTTTTAATGAAGTCCGTAACCTTCAGTTTCGTCCCACATAAGTACGACTGGAACCGTTTGTTCACATTAAAGTCGTAGGTACTTTGCACAATATAGTGCCCACGAATCAAAATGGCGCGCGTCGTTACAGTATGGTAGGGACTTAGCACAACCGTAGTAAATTGCATACTAACATGTCCTTCAATCGTGTAGTACGTCTCGGCTGTTGCGTCACTGGAACAGCTTTATTTGGGGCAAAATCGGCATGGTCCGCCGATTGGAGTAGAGGTGATCAAAATCTACCATTTTTTGACCAGTTGAAAAGTTTTGCAACCAGCTTCAACAAAAGATTTCCATCAATACTAAGTGTTCGTGCTATCTGTAGTGAAAATATCAGTATAAAACCATGGAACTGGGACTGGGACGGAAGAAATCCAAATATTAGGACAGATGCGTCATTGCAAGGTGAAATAGTGACACCAAAACCAAAGTGTACACGACACCTTCTATTTATTCGTCATGGACAATATCATTATGCAAAAGAAGATTCTGACTGCCACCTGACAGGGCTTGGGCGACAGCAATTGGAATGTACTGGGATGCGTTTACGAGAACTCAATTTCCCATATAAAAAACTATACTATTCCACAATGACGCGTGCTGTCGAATCAGCTGAGTTGGTGTTAAATCACCTTCCCGATGTTCAAGCAGAACCCTCAGACGCATTACGTGAGGGTGCTCCTTACGTTCTGGAGCCACCCCTCGTCTATTTTCAACCCACACCAAAAGACATAGAAGAAGATGGCTCCCGGATTGAACTTGCATTCCAAAGACACATACATCGTGCAGATGTGGAACAAGAGACCGACACATATGAAGTGTTTGTGTGCCATGCAAATGTTATTCGCTATTTTGTTTGTAGAGCTCTACAGTTTCCACCTGAAGCTTGGATAAGGTTTTCCCTTGATCACGGCAGTATAACGTGGCTTGTCGTCCGGCCTGACGGGCGCGTTACATTGAGATGGTTAGGAAACTCGGGACATATGCCCCCTGAACTCATTTCGGTTCAGTAGATTTCTAGGAATTTGGCTTCATTGTACAGTGTATATTACATGTATTTAAAGTTCCTTGTTTTGTAATTAATTTCTTGTAAGATTAGATACAATTTTTGGATGACTGACATAGCATTCTTGCTAATCGTCTTCCATTGATTACAGTGTTACCTGAAATAAACAGTGGAAGTATTCAATGGCGTAAGGTGCTCTGTTAGCGTTCTGGACTTACTATAGCTCAATACTTAACTGGAAGATTTAACCCTTAGTTGAGACAAATATTATTGGGATACTTGACGCAACTAAGTGCATGTTCAAGGCTAGTGAGATTAGCTAGATTCCTTAAACAAATGAGTAGTTTGGGAACAAAATCCGACTAGTTTAATCACTGATCTTCTAATTTTACTGATTCTTGCTTTTGTGGACGAATTCTAGTCAGCACATCCTGGATTTGGTTACTTTGTCTAAAATAAGGACAATCATACAATTAAGTACCGTAGATTTCCCATAGATACCAACCAAACAAAAAGCCTACTGCGATCTTAAAAGTAGTTTTTGCGTGTTCGAGCCTCTTTTGCCTAATGTGTGTAAAGCATCGGAATAAGAACTATGTTAAAACTTAGTAAAAAATTTAGTAAACTAGTGAGCGTGTCAAAACGGAAAGGTAAGAGAACTGGTGTAGTCTTACTTATACTTTCATTGAGCTCAAATGCTTAACAATTCATTTGTTGCCTTGGTTCTGGACCAAATGTTCCTAAAGGAGCGTGCTAATCCCATATTTCCGAAAGTAAACACGTTGAAATCTCAAAGTGAACCTGATAAAATGTAGTACGTGACACGGCTTAAAATGTTGTAATGCATTTTAATAAACCAAATAATGGGTGTTGACTGATAGCTAGTAGCATCAGTCACAGTCTGTTATTCGAAGAAACAAGTTTTTTGCCTACCTATGAAGCAATATTTGAGCTAACTTCATTTACATTAGTTTGCTTTGGCTTCATTACGTGAAACTTGCTGTGAATCTTTTCCCTCTATTTAACTAAATAAGGAGTTGAGATAAACTTATTGAAAGAGCAAAATTACTCGAGTAGTTTTTAGTGCTAAAAATCCAGATGGTCTATGAATCATAAAGCCTTACTCGGTTAAAGCAACACTACCTGGAAAGAAATAAGAATCAGTACTATGTACTGCAAAAATCGCAAATCTCGATGTTGAAAAAAAGGTATTCTTTAGCAATAATTTAATGGTAGCTTGGAAACTACTTCCCATGGCTTATTAGTAGATAAATAAATAAGCAAATTACGGTCGTTTGACTTTGTGAATATTTACTGATACAATTAGTCGTTACGATGATAATACTTACCAAACAGATCTTGTACTACTACTTCGATAATAAAGATTTCCCTGTGGTTAGGCCTTAGGTCTTGATGTTAATCCCCAACCCCTTTAAATGACAAAAACACATGACCAACTTAGTAATGAGTAGAAGAGAATTATATACAACGACCTTAAAGTAAAGTGAGTTTCTAGGATCGTATTCTTTCAAGCTTACGCATTCCAGTACAGTTAGAACAACTTATAATATTGCCTCGTATCTCAAGAAGTTCCGTCACGTGATTTCGATGTGTATTCTTGTGCAAAGTTATAACCGATGGAGGTTAACTGTATTGGGAATTAAAGTTTCGTACTGACATCTGATGCACTATTTCGCAAATTAAATGACGTTGAAAATGTCGGCTACTCAACTAGAACTTAATAGTCAAGATGCAATATGTTGCCTCTGAGGTCCGGAGGCCGGGTTCGATCTTTGACGTTACCATAAATTCTTATCATAAAAAAGTTCCAATCTAGAAAACATCTGTAAAATACTTAATTTAAATGAATCTTTAGTTCAGACCAGTCCGCAGCAAGAAACATTCAGAACTCAAACTGACCTCTGTAAAGTTGAGGTCGAAAAGACTGTTGTTCTAAGTTGCAACATCTCAAGTGTGTCTTCCTGGTGGGAAGCGCTTAAATTCTTTGTAAAAATGCAAGAGCGAAGTCGAGGGTAGTCAACCACCAACCTGACATTATAAAGCGTCACCACAGGCACACTGCTTTGGGAACGAAGGCTCTGTCATATATCCCAGTTTATAACCAGTTAAGTGAAGCGCAAACAAACGATTAGCTTGTGATAACGGCATTATGAAATATGCAGTTTAACAGGAATTATAAACATGATCATGTCCAAGTTTCCATTTGTAATTAATTGTCTAGCGATAAACGAAATATTTATGACTTTTTCGTGACCCCTAAGAGACATATTCAGTGTAAGCCTAACTTCTCATAGCTTAACAGTCTGGGCTCATCTGCTTCCATATTCGAAAAAAATTGCTTTTACTTCTCGACCGATGTTGTCTGTATCAAATACTAACTCTACTCATATGAATTGTTAAGGTACCAGAAGTTGGTTATGTAGCTTACTTAACTTCATCGCACCAAATCCCTTATGATCCGAATTTAGAAACAGGCACTGTCAAGTATGGAAAAAATTTTGTTTTGTGTAACATGATGGATTTGTTAACGCATTTCCTTAGGTAGTTGAAGGGTGAAGACCAAAATATGATATCTCGACGTTTCATATCCGAAAGCAAATTCCGTGGTCACCAGATTCTTTCCGGCAGTTGTCAGAGGAAGTTTGATCTATTACAAAGTTATTAATACCTCGTTTTTCTGTCAACCAAATCTAATCGATCTCCTGGGTAATATCATGACCGGCAAATTTCATATGATTCCAGCTAGCTTTATAGCTATTTGGCTTCAAATAAATAAGCTTAACAACTAATAGATAACGTGAGATTTTATTTTATATTTAACAAGAAATCACTTCGTACTAACATTTAGGACCATTCATCAAAGTGTTAAGCTGTAGCGAATCACTTTTATCACGTAACAAACTAATACAATACCGTTAAGTAGGATAGCACGAAGTCTGTTCTCATACACTGACCTTAGGGATACTTACTGGTAAAACCATGGTGATTTGGACATACTCAACAGTCGCTAACCAAAGGGTATTTAGAAAAAACGATAGATCTCAAACTTTTAGCCATAAACAGGACAACCCAATATGCAGCTTAATGATTCTACACCAAGGAGAGACGATGAAGAAGCTAACAATTAACAAGAACAACACATTGAAGAAAGTAATGAAACTTCAAAACGACAGATAGCATGAAGTGTTACATTTAAAACTATTTGTTTCCAGATTGTTGTAAAAAAGGATTTACGAATCAGCGTATTTGCTTCCAGTATTTTGAAGGCCTATTCGGAAGACCGGTCTCGGAAAAAACCACGTTGTTATTGACAGCTTTCCATTTGTTCTCTGTAAAAATATATGATACCGATAAATAACAATTCTACAGGATAATGTGACTTTCTGGCTGCTTTCACAAGGTATATTTGATAATAATCTATTTTAATTGATAAAGTGTCATGGTTTAAATACACATCTATATCACGAGTTTGAATCACTAGTAAGTCATTGTAATATTGCCAGAGAGCTTCTGTCTGAATTCGTACTTTCTTCATTATTACTTGGTTTCTATCGAATGCTTGTAACGCTCAGTGTACCTAATTTACATTAAGTATTGTATTTTGAAAATAAATAAAAAAGGCTTAGAAGTGTTGTGAAATATTCTGTGAAGTGGAGTAATCAAGTATATGACAACCCGATTTTAATGATCGAAGCATCGGTGACTCTCTAGTAACGTGTTCACTCTAAAACACAAAGTGATGCATGCTCATCCGGTCAATAATATACAACGACAGGATAAGACTTTCTCTGGTTCAGTTTTACCATACTTCACACATCGATCTATCACCCGAGTTAACAATAGAAATTGGCGCTCGTTGGAGCTTTCTGCCTACTTAAATTGTATCCACTTATATTAGTACAAATCGGCACCGAATACGTATGCACCACACTAGTCACTTGATTTTTGTGTGGGCTATGATACTGTCCGAGTGCCCAGACCGATGCAGGTTTACGCAAGTCCATTCACAGACTACCTCGACACGCGATAATGAGTGGCATAGGAGTAGGTCCTAAGAAAGCTATGGTAGCTAAACTGACCCATGTAGGTATCTGCATACTACCTGGTTGGGGTCTGAGTGATTAACATAACAAGTTGAGACCGGGTGAAGTAGCTTAGAATCATTCGCTACGGCGCAAGTCCGGTGACCAACGATTGGCTCATACGCCATTTGCCTCTTCAGGATACTGGAGCCCATGTGCACCAGTGGTTTGGAATCAGGGTTTTTTGAACTCCCCTAGGTGGACTCTCCGTGTCCGCAAACCCAGTTAAAGTGCCGGACATTCGCTTTTTGTCCTCTCAATTTCGTAAACACCCCTGCCACGAGAAAGCAGTGAGTAGGACTTCCATGGCAGTGGTTGTATACGCGTGGCCATATGAGAGCATTTCGAGCGGGAGAGACCACCCTCCCTACCCTCGGCTGCACCAGGGCATTTATTGATTCTTTTTCTTTAAACCGTACAAATGTAAATAAATGACTAGAAAACTACAATGACCAAATCAACACTTCAACGATCTTATTGTAATCTTTACCGTTGTTTTAAAATAGGATTAATTTTAATTTGGTTAGTTATTCTCTGAAGAAATGGTTTACACTGAGTCAGGAAACGTCAGAAAATCTAATTTTTCTACTCATTGGGATATTACAAAAATATTATTTTTATTTATAATCTTTACCGCTGTTTAATTCTGTTAACCACAACGGTTTAGATACCCCGAATGAATTATTTTTACTGTAATTGTAAACCCTGATGAGAAATTACCGAAAATATGTACTTTCTCAAAGTGCACTTCCCAATATTTGTACTGAAATTATAGGGTTGATTTTCGCGGAATTAAATAAAAAAGACCAGAGGTTTTATACATAGAAATACTTTCTAAGGACTCGTATCAAGGGACTTTAAGTGTCAAATCATACTTCACGTGAATAGAAATGAAATATTACAAACTAATATTCATGAGATTAAAAGATGATGGTTATTGAATGACACAGTGATTAACCATAATGTTAGGCAGAAAAAACGTACTCATGTAATGATGTATTATTTGACCGACTTTCAGATGCGGTGGACAAAGGGGTTTGTTCAACCACTGAACAATGATTGTTGACGCCTTCCTGAAAGATCAATCGGAAAACAGGTTATGGGTAACAGCACAAAATGTTACACTACTCGAGCGTAAAAAATCTATTATGGTTAAAATCAATTAGTAAATAGAACTAACTTGGTTTTTAGTTATCCTGGCGAGTAAATGAAGTTTCTGAAAAGTATCATACCAATACTTCACAACAGTCTCATAGTTATTCTACAATAGTACGAATAGAAGCTAAACATACAGGAAAACTGTAGACTGTCACTTCTAAATGCTGATTCTTCTCATGTTTGATCGGTATTTCACGTACGGATTCTAACTCATCTTCTGAAATGTAAGATTTAATATCAGTATTCTTAAGGTTTGAGACTCCAGATTCCTGTGTAAATTTCTGTTCAGCACATATGTTTGTAAAAGTGACGTAACCTGAACGCTTTTTCGACCTGCGAGTACAATCAGAAAGCTAGGAATCACCTTTAAATGTGGAAATCTACCTACATCCCAGTTATCTGCAGCGTATAAACTTTTTATCTCTCCATCGTCATCAAATTCTATTCTCCTAGTCGAATAAATTTGAGAATTGATTGAAGTCTTCGAAGCATCATCCTGTAAACTGTTAAGTGCATCTTGAGACTTCTTTGCTTTTCGGCGTTTTTCATGGGGTTTACGCACACTAAGTAATTTAAGCACACTATCTGCATGGAATATACTTGACGTTCTGTGTATCAACATTTTCAATGGATTCTTCTTGCATGTCAAGGATTTTTCTCCCTCATATATTATAAAGGGAAAACTAGATTGACTAATGATAGGCAATAAAAAAGAACTGGATTGTTGTCTTTTTGCTTTTCTATAACAGTCCCATCCACCTGTTACAATCAACAAAAACGTAGGGAAGTTGTGGTGAACAAATAAAAAACAATACGTGCTTACTGATATGAAGAAATGTCCGGTCTCTTTGGGTTGCTAGTGAACAATCCTACAGGGTCTCACACTAAAACGAAACTTCTGTCTAGTATTCCCCGATGTTAGGTGGTGGCTTTGTTATTAAACCTATAGAATTATAACTAGTAAACCCTAGTTTGGAAACTCACTGATTTGGCAATCAGGTTAGTGTCATTAGCTTTTATGCGATGTGTGGCTCGAAAACGAGTACATAAACCCATATTGTGTGAATTATACTGAAACCAAACTATAATTTTTAAAAGGCGAAATTTAATGGATAGTAACCATTGTGTATAGGTCATGTCACCTATGGTGTATAGCTACTGCTTTTATTGTGGGATACCTAGCTTGAAAAGTCTCAATAGAACTATGAATAAAGCCTTAGACTTCTTCAAATATTTTGTTTTGGATGTCTTGAGCCTTTTTGTGAAGTCGTTCATCACCAGTAGCATCATGTGGTGACTAAGTATGTATCACGCGTGCTGTAATAGATTACGTTTCCAAACAAATAGATTGTCTTACACTCCATGATAAAAACTATAGGCCTAACTCCGACATTTCTTGCCGGGAAGCTTTGCATCACGCCGACAATACTTTGAAAACCCATATTCGTTGGACAACCTTAAGACTAACTTGATATTTTTGAACTAAATGCTAGCTGCATTTATGAACACATCATTTTTATTACCGAAACATTTTCTGAGCATTTTACTAGTTATCATTTTCTATCCGATGATAAACACTAGGTGACAATATCCAACTTCTCAAGTCATAGTAGCTGAAGTGTGTCCGGCCATTATACCTACATACCAACCTTGTTTTTTTTTTCATTTAAACGCATACGAATCAGGTATGTGAAAATTTATTAGGTCCTTTGATTGCCTTGAGCAACAATGTAAGTATATTTGAGATGGGACTCTCTCACTGTAAATGCAGAATATTGCTACAAGACTGACCTGTGTCAACACCTGAAATAAGGATAGGAAGAAAATCAATTGAGTGTGTCCATCGCTTCACTTATCTTGGCAGTCCCATCAATCTTGAAGGGTTGGTATCTCACAAAACCTGAACATGGGTTCAAAAACCTCGACTGGTTTATAGATAAATGTGTCACTTGCGGTATAGTCAAGAAGTCTGTTTCCTAACCAATGAACAAATTTACTGTGCAGTATTTTGCTCTGTTCGTAGGTTGCTTGTATTCCGTCACAGGTTTTTTTGAGACATCCCTCGTATAATTTTGAACAACCGATTGAGTAACCTTGAGATAAGGGATATGATAGCGGATAAAAATGGTAAACGATTCGATAAAGTAGTGAATCTGTATTAATTAAGGTGGCTGGGACATGTTGAGTATACTCATCCACCATTTACCTCGACGAGTGACGTTGTCTGGCGTAGGAAGGAGTAGACTTGGAGGCAGATCAGTCAGTCAGTCAGTAACAACGTGGAACTTCAAACGTACGTACATCAGTTCGAGTTGCCATACCACATTAGCACAGAGATTCAGTTATCGATTCAAATCCCATAGTGGTAGAGGTACTGAAAGTATAAGTAGAGATAGGGGACATTAAGGTTTGATGATGTTATTAAAGGAGTATAGTCCAGTGGAATAAATTGGGAAAGAAAATAAAGGACACGAAGAATTCAGAAGATTAGAGTTTGAGAGAACACAAAGAGCGGATGCACCTGCGCCATTGCAAACGATTTTGAGCCATGTCATTCAAGGTCTCTAACCATCGGTTGCTATCGTCTCGCGGTCCCCAACCAGGTAGTCTACACCTACCAACATGACTCAGTCCACTTGTCAGTGACTTCATGGATTTGTGCCATGTTCACGATCTTTGCGCAGGCTTCTAGTCAGCTTACGCTTAAGCTGACTCCGCTCTTCGTTATGTTCAGAGCCAGATGGAATGAGTTTTCGAGCATCTATCAGTGCGGTAGATGCTGCTGAGATCCAGTGTTTCTCCCTAACCTTATGGTTTACCGTACTTGCAGACATCACTGCTGTTTCTACAGCTTTTCGGATGTCATTCCGTGCTGCCTCGGGGTGGGTATCACTTACATGGCTGCCTAACTGTTTTTCTAGATGTTCCTGAAATATACTCTTAGCTTGACTATCATTAAGTAGGACCCTAAGGGGTTTCCTTGCAGCATGTTTCCTACGTCCAGTAAGACGTAGACAGATACGCGCTCGCACTAGAGCATGATCTGAGTCTAAGCATGTGCTTCAGAATGAGCGACAGTCTTCTATCGAGCCCCTCCATCGGTGGCTGATAGCGATGTGATCTATTTGGGTCCAGCGTTGAGACGAATTAGGGGGTCGCCATGTCAAAAGATGTTTTTCCTTATGCTTAAAGTTAGTGTTTGCAAGAAACAGGCGGTTATCTGAGCATAGCTGCAACAGACGGTCGCCGTTATCTGTTCTTTGAGCCGCGACACCATAAGATCCACCCAGGTGTCTTTCCTTTTCGCTTAGTTTACCTACTTGAGCATTAAAGTCACCAGCCACTATTACTACATCTGAACGCCTAGCTTCTCGGAGAAGGCCGGAAAGCTTTCTGTAAAACTCATCTTTTACATCATCTGAGTTGCAGTCAGTGGGAGAGTAGGCAGAGACGACGAAGAGGCAACAACGAGTGTCCCTATCTTTTCGAATCCTTACTGTTCCGTTTAGTCGGACAGCACACAAACGACTGTCTACTGGGATCCAGTCTAAGAGAGCTAGTTCTGCCCTAGGACTCAATGCTATACCTACGCCAGCGAGGCCACGGGATGCAGCATCAGGGCTTCCAGATACACGAAGCGTAAATCGAGTTGGTTCGTTACTTCGACATGGTGAGGTCAAATGAATGACACTACTCGGATCCTGTGTGCGCGTTTCGGAGACGCAGCACACATCGATGGCGCGAGATTTTAAAGTCCTAGCTAAGCAAGCCTGTTTTCCTATTAGGCACAGTGTTCGGGCGTTGAAAGCTCCTACGTGTAGTTTAGAGCGTGGTTTCAGGAGACCAGGAATAACGTTCCGCGTACTTGAATTTTTCGCACTAGCGGGACGAGGTGATAAAGGGACGTGAGAAGGGTTAGTCGTGGAGATAAGAGAGTTATTAGGAGGTGTAGGAAGGATTTGAATGTGACCAACTTGGTCTCGTGTGCTGTTACGGGTATGAGGGCTGATATCACTTCCTGGTTGCCCACACCGTGGAAGGGTATTTCTTGGGGGACCTGAAAAGGAAATCGGATTAGTGTTGGTCTTAGCGACCTGAGTGCGTGACCGCAGAGCCCAAGGGACAACTGCTTGAGGCCGGTCGCGCACGGCCTTTTTGTGGGAGGTTTTTAATGTGTTAGCTCCGTTCTTCAAAGGGCCTTACCGCCGGAGACGGAAATCCGTGGGGTAAGGTGAGGTGTGACATTTTTAGGGTCAACCTTTTCTAACCCCTTCCTTCCTTGTGAGAAGGCAGCATCGCTGCAGATGCTGGTTGTCCGAGGGAAACACCTTACTGCTGTCACACCTCTGTACAGTCAGCAGTACGACTTCGCCCTCAGACCTTGAGTTGCTGCTTTTAGTCTTACCGTTCTCCAATCGACCTGCCTGGCATGGTAGAACCTGCAGGAACTTGAGTTCCAGCCAATATAGCTCGGTTGGGTCATCACGATAGGCAAGCCCGACCACCACGTCAAGGTAGCAGCTACGGTCGGGCTTGGAGGCAGATAGAGGCGGCCAAACCAAGATGTTCCACCAATCCATGAAGTGCCCCCAAATGCCCTGGAATGGCCGAGTGGGGTGGGCCCGCCCTCTTCTCGAAATGCTTTCACACGGCCACGCATAAACAGCCTCTGCCAGGGAAGTCCTACTCAATGCCTTCTCGTAGCGGGGGTGTTGTCTACGAAGATGAGAGGACAAAAAGCGAATGTCCGGCACTATAACAGGATCCCAAATCAATGGTGCACATGGGCTCCAGTATCCTGGAGGAACAAATGGCGTATGAACCAATCGTTGGTCACCGGCTACCATGGGATTGCATCTCCTTACGATGCTCCACAGCCTTGTGGGTTAGATCTTTAGTTCAAATGCTCGGGGTGGGGCCACCTAAGAAAACCACCTGCCTCGGTCTGGACACCCGAGCAGTATCACAGACCACACACAAATAAGGTTTTGTGTGGCGCATATATATTCGGTGCCCTCTTCTACCAATATTTATGTGTTCAAATAAAATAAAATAAAATAATCCATGAAGTCATTGGTAAATGGATTGAACCCTCTTAATAGGTGCACGCTGGTTGGACACTGTTTAGAATCGTTCGCAATGGTGCAGGTCAATTCACTCTTTGTCTTCACTTGGAACTTGAGTCTCAAATCTCCTTACAACTTTTTTCTTCTACATCTAGTCGTCTTACTAATACTGGTACGATTACTTCTACTGTGAGATTTGTCTTGATGGCCATTTGTACCAACGCTTGTGTGTTTGAACGAAATGATTTGTCTTTATAATTATATCTGTGTCAATGGGTTATGGCAAATTGGACCGATGAACATGTGTCAGGTACTACGTTGCACATAACTCACCGACATGAGACCCCAAATTAAATTGTACTAAATTCTGAAATGTACGGACCTACTTTATCTTCATTGTGATACTGTTTTGTTCCTAAATTATTTAAACTGAATAGATACTTGGAGTAATTCACAGTCGCTTGACCAATAATAAACAAATAGTTCCCCAGGTCACCCGAAAGAAACGTCAAGACAGTGCATAAACATCTACTGCTGTTAGTAAGCTCCAAAGTCTATGACATTTTGAGATCATAAAGTAGCATGGATTCTAACGGAAATAGATAAAAACTTTTGATTCGTTGTACCTATGTATTTAGTTAATATTCAGATGGCTGAGATTAAGGTACAACAAATCGGTTCCTACGAAAAGTTGTATTTATGAAGCCTAAGATTATTGGAAAAACTGTTGAGGGAAGTGTTGGGTGATGTTCTGAACAAAGCGTTGAGCTGACTGGATGTACATCCACATGAAATTATGATGTCATACGTATGACATCAAAATTTCAAATAACTCGACTACATGAGAGAATGACCGAAAAAATTGTCGCGCTGACAAGAAAAGGTTGAGATTTTGGTGTGGACGTAATATTTAAAAGATCAAAACGATTAAGATGTTATGATACTAATGCAACAGTAGAACCGCTCCCACTAGGACCAGTTACTCAAATCTAAATGGTAGACACCAAGGTTATCCATGTATGTAAAGTTGTTGCCGGATAAAGCATACTTTCACCAATTCTTTTTGTAATTAAAGTGATGAATTAATCATTTAGATACGACCACTCGGTTGATTAACGTTGAAATCACATTACTTGTGATTGTTTATAATGCAAAATCCATTTCGCCGTTTCATAAGTCGAGTAAGTCAAATGACTTTATCATATTGTTTAGGTGAACTTACCTTTTTGAGAACCATAGGCTTTGGCAAACGGTCACAATTGACTGTCATAAGACAACCAAACAATGAGTACTCATCGATGAACCTGGCACATTTATGTACTGTCTGAAGTCGCAACACCACTTTACCACGGCGAAATGTATGCGTAGTAGAAGTAGTAATAGTATAAGTGGTGCTAAGAAAGTTAAGGTATTTACAATGTGGTCATAAAAAAAAGTACGAAATCATGAAATCTAAAATAGCATGTTATAGTTTCGAAACTCAGTATCTAAGTTGAGAAAAATGGTTACTGCACCTACGTCATTGCGAAAAGAATACACTTTATGGAAGAACCGATGAAACTCAAGATAACATCGGCAAGGTAACAAAAAAGTCAGCTCCGCTCGAAGTCGCCCGACGTCTTACTTGAACGACCTTGAACAGACTGAATGAGACTCCTATTTCGTAATTCAATTGCTATGGGTTTGTTGGGTGTCCGTTGGGATGCATGAATACTGGGTGTCCTCATATTTAATTGGCCCTTCGCTGCACCAAACCACAAAGCCATCGCGAAGAACATTTATTTAGCTCTCACTGTTTTGTAGTGCAAACGTTGGGTCGATTATTACGTCGTGACGTTCTAATCTCCATATTTTGTCCGGTTTGGGCAAATTCTAAGGGAAAAGCCGTAGAAACTTTTGAGTAAATGGCACAGAATTTCCTCAGTTCTGCAGAAAACCCCCAAATTATTCGGGGAATTTTTGGTTTTTTCCCAATATTTTCCCAGAATCTTATGCCACTTTGGGGTTGATCTGGGATACTAATTACTTTACTGAACCTCACTGCTTATGTTTACAACTTGATAAGGTTCATAAAACAACGTAACAAAGATAAGAATAACTTAATTTGGATTTTAGCGCGAAACTAGTTCATTTATATGTCTAAATAGGATTTCGACATCATCATGGTGGAAACACTAACTTTAATTCGTTGCCTTAACATCTAACTCGAATTTT